AGGGCGCCTAGAAGGACTTAGGCCAGATTGATAATTAAGTACTTTGATATGCAAAATGAACTGAGCACAATTTATCAGACATCATAAATTGTAGAAAATAGCACAGTAACACAAGAAGGGCTTACGTCAACGTTGAGATTTAGCAATTCAGCGAGACGAACAAGCCTTATTTGCGTGTAGTAAGCAGAAATAACGCGAATATTGTGCTCAGTGACACGAGCCTGGAGATCCTTAAGAGCGTGCTCGGGACCTTTTGACCCATTCAAAGTAGAAAATGCCTCTGTCTCGTTTCGCAAAGTTGCTTCGTGCTTTTCACAAAAATCGTCCCATTGCATGAGTTCTTGGGTGGTAAAGGCTTTCAGCATACACCTAAAACAGAACAGCAAAACTGGCAAGGAAGTCATGAACTACATAAACGGCAAAGAATAATGGTTTGTTAAGTTAATAGGCTAGAATAATACTTTTAGAACAATTGGACAAGTAAAACCTACACATATTCAGGAAGGGCCTCTAGGTCACGCAATTTCATCCAGCGGTGCATTAAATCATGCTGCTCGTTGTCATATGGGGAGAGGATAAGATACACAACAAGATTGCGCAAAGCCTAGAACGGTAAAAAATATTAAATAGACAACCCCACCTTCAGCTTTTCGGAATCGTCTCCTTTGACCGTTTTTGTGTTGTACATTTCCCAGTAGTGTTTGCTTATTGATAAATATGAGTCAGTCTGTAGATCCACCATAACCATTTGTCTATAAAACTTCAGTTTTAGATCTTCTGTTCCTTCCTCCTGGAAAAATTTCGGAGAAATTTTCCTGCTCAATATTTGAGTTCTAATGAAATCTTTTTTGGCCAGACAGAGTCGCATTTGTTCCAGAATGAATTCAACTTTTTCGCGTTTCTCCATGGAACCGAAAGTCTCGACCTGGATTTCTTGCAATATATCTGCAGCTTCGTCAATAGCTCCTTTGGATTCCTTGATGTCAGCAAGTAGCCGTGTGAGCCTTGCCCGTTCAACTTCGACGTAGATCTATGGCAGTTTATAACCCATAATAAGATACCTTTCCTTCTGTGACCGTTCGCAATGTGCTAATTAATCCCAATTTAACTGGTTCGTTGGGTGTTTTATCTAGATAACCCATTGCCGCCTGGACCATTTTAGTGACAGCTTGTTTTAGCTGATTCCTCTTCTTTGACATCAATACAAGGTTCTCGTTTAATTTGTCCCATTGGTTTGCGTCCCCAAGAATTTCTACTATGCAAGTAAGCAAACGACCCGTCGAAATAGCATCAGATGCCTTAAAAATACGTAAAATTAGGGACTAATCGTACGGTTCGCGTTTGCTTCTCAAGAGCGGAACACTTTTCAAGTGCCTCATCTATTTTTCCAGCCTATATAAATAAACGCGAATCAACCAAAAAGTACCGAAGCTAGTTCTTTGAAAACTGGAATTTTTTCATCAACCGTGGCTGAAAAATCAACATCCATCTTTTCCAGTGCCATTGCTGAATCGGCGGCAAAACGGATATACGGGCGACCAGAGCCGCCAAAAGGATATTTCAAGGTCAGTCTGCTCAACTTGAAGACGCGGAATCCGTTTCTCCAGATGCTCAAATATTTACATTTTTCCAGTACAAAAATGTAGTCTGCTTAAAACTTGAATGGAAGAATTAATATTTTACAGCAGATGGGGCCGCAAATGGCCAACGGCCGCAGTTCATAAGTTCAACAAGCCAACATGTCAGAAGTTCACATGCGGCAAAAGTCGTTGTTGTCCCGTACGCGTAGGACTCGTCAACAGTAAGATACCCTTCCGTTTTAATCAGTGTGCTTTAAACAGAAGAACTGATTTTAAATTCTGAAAATTGATACTGTAGTGTCCAAGCAGTCAGCAGACAATCTCAACAAGATTTCCTTTAGGA